GCCGAGGTCTGATCAGCAAGACAGCCAAGGGCACTCTCCCCCGCCCACGGGGCGGTTGTCTCTTTTATAGTGAAAACTACGTATTAGATATTTACTTTCTATTTCTAATACTTTTCGCCCTTGTTGGCAAGTGCACCTTCACTATGAACCAATCCACACATGCCAACATCATCTTGAACATGAATGCCAAGGAGAAGAAAGAAGAAGGACAGGGCACGCCCAAATCCCTCCATCTTGGGACTCCTGACCCCCATGTACAGAATTCTAAACCCCCCTGTACAGTGCATTATAATTTAAGTTTTACTTAGTGGATATCATCCTTTCACTATTCAAACTTGAAGTTCTCTCATTTCTTCACTTTTAGGAGTCATTTCTTTAGAAGAATCACAGTCAAGCCACCAGGTAGTTTTGTCAACATTCTAGGACCTCCGAGCCCCCCAAGGGTTGTCTCGGTAGCTCTGGACATCTGGAGTGATGTACTGAGATCCCACAGGGCAGTAGCTTTCAAATTCATTGCATGTATTTCTTTTCCTTAAATTTTATTTTTTCTTTCAAGTTAACTCAGTGCTTATGAGTTTTGCTTAATGCCAAAATGATAGCCACTGCTCTGTAAAATTGTTTGTCTGAACAGATTTTAAAAAAGCAGTGCATAATTTCCTTTACAGACTGCCCTGTCATACAGGCACTCACCCAAGAGGGAAAATAACTGTAAAAAGAGAACATATATTCAGAAGTACATGTTGATTTAAGCCTAATGGAAGGTGGCCAACATTAATTCCATCATATTAAAAATTATCCACTAAAAATTCATAAATAAATTCTATACTCATATTTCAGATGCAGAGAATAAATGATAAGGTTTTGAAAAAAACATGCTGTTCTGGTCAAAGATATAGAGCTCTGCTTCTTCCAAATCCACACTCTTTCTGCCTTGATACATGGGCAAGCCTTTGAAGATGACGAGGCTTGTTCAGGACAGAGTCAGATGAAAAATACCATATTGTTACATTACCCTGTACTGCCACAGAACAGTCATGAATATTAAATTTTTCAGCATTCTTTTCTTAACAAAAAATATCTGTAGTAGTTTGTATGTGAGCATGCATTATTGTGTCAGAGGTTTAAACAACAAACTTGTAAAACATAGGTTATTAATTGGCAGAAAAAAATCTGGTAAGCTGAGGTTCTGGGATTTTTGTTGGGTTTTCTTGTTTGTTTAGTTGGGGGGTGTTGGGGTTTTTTTGGTTGGTTTTTTTTTTTTTTTTTTTGGTTGGTTGGTTGGTTGGTTGGTTGGTTGGTTGGTTGGTTGGTTTTTTTTGCTACACTGGAAAATGGAAGAGAAATGGCCACCACACTGAAGAGGACTTTGCAAACTTTTCCTATGCACCATCTGCATTCGTATGCCTGTCTCTGCAAACTTGAGGACAAACAGCAAAAAAATTCTCACTGGAAGAAATTGTGCAGGTGTGCAATACAAAAAAGATGTGATGCACACTTGCACACTAGGAATGCAAAGACACATATAAAGGGAAGATGCCACATGCAGCACATCAAAAACCTTTGTTAGTATTATTTTGACCATGTTGTTCTCTTGAACTTTCAGTTTATTTTGCTGCTTCTGCATGTCACTGTTGAAACACAGCAATAAAGAAAGGTTACAGACATATTTGTAGTGTCCTGGTGGGGCTGCATCCCCTTCAGCCATCTTTGCATAAGGGTAATTAAAACTGCTGCCTTGTTTGTGGGTGTAAATTGTGCTGGAACTTGTAGCACTTGATCCTTTGATGATTTCTGTCACCATTCACTGGGACCTGTGCTTTTGCACAAAAAACAAGGCATGAACTTTTCGTCTTCATCTGCACGTGCTGTTTTTGCCTGACTTTCTGGAGTTTCACAATACCAGGCAAGTAAAGCACTGCATAGCAAATGGGCAAGCCTTATTTTACTCCCAGCACCCTGTCCATTTTCATGGGTTTCATGGGTAATAACATACTCTAATTTTACTTTTTAGACTGGATCTGCATAATGAATGTTGAGCAAAGATGGTTATCTTCTGTTAACAATCTGATGGATTTTAATTCTTCTTGATTACACAAGCAGATTCCCAAACTTTAATAATCAGGTCAAATGCTTTAATGTGTAAGCTTCAAGAACAATTTTAAAATCACCACCTGTAAGCTAGACTAATCCCCACCAGTTTGTAAACTATATTTTGATTTGCAACCTGACACTTCTTGAGATAGTTGTCTAAAAACATATATGAAAGGAATTACATGCACTGGCCAATAATAGAAGACATTATTTCTGTAAATCTGTATTGTCTTACAGAAGGTTTGCAATATTAGCTAGTCACTCTCAACTGTTTAGTGAAACTGTTAGCTGATTGAATAGATACATTAAAATCCCATTTATGAATTACTGTGACATAATAATATAAATGTCTATGCACAGGTGTCCTGATGTCATGGCTAGAAGAAGATAAAATCCTTGTGATTTCAGGTCACATGAAATATCCTACACTTTATAATGTACTTATTGCTACTTTAAAATATATAACAGTAGCATTATAAAAATAATTAAATTGAAAATATGTGCTTTTGGAATAAACATGTAATTTTGGTGAATCATTTGATTCTGCAGATCTAGTTCTGCAATCACTCCAGATCTCAACTGCATTTAACATCTTAAAAATTGTACGTGATTTAAAAAAATTGCATATGATCTAAAGATACCGATGAGTGACTGTTGGATGTATTTTAGTATGCTGACAATGGTTTGAGTTTATATGAACCTTGGCTTTTGCTATCTGGATTTAAAAGCACAATTTCTCTAAGGAACTTCTCTCTTTCAGTGTTATACCTGCATTGAGAGCTTTGTGGAAAATAAGGGGAAAACACCAACATCTCCAGCTTGGTTTTGTTTATTTGTTTGTCTTCTGGGGTTTTTTTGTAAGAGATTCTGCAAAGATGACATACAAAGACTGGCAGGGTTTGTTGGTTTTTTTCAGATATAGTAAAGCAAATAGTTAATATAGATAAAACAAGTTGTGATAAACATCAAAATAAACGTTTTTAAAGAAAGTATTAACCTAGAATTAATTGCTTTATTCTATAAAAAGGGGTTTAAGGGTTTAATTTTTTTTGCTTTATGAATTTATTAATTTTTTGCTTTATTAATTTAAAAATTTATTAATTTTTAATTTTTGCTTTATTCTATAAAAAGGGGTTTAATTTTTGACCTTCCACATACTTGAAAAGTGTCGCACAATTTGTAACAGTCTTAAGAGTCTTAAAAAGTCTTAAGGAATAAAAATATTCCAGGTAAATCTGTAATAAGTGTTAGTCTTAATGAAAATATTCCATTAGTACTAAAGTTGCTTATAAACTTAATGTCAGTGGAGCAAAAACAGGACAAAGGAAGAATCTGATTCATCAGTACATTGATAACAGTCCATTTTGTGCAAAATTACCAATTTTTTGGCAGTTTAGAACTGACCCTACATGACTACCAAGAAAAACTTTCACAAAGGAATAAAGTCTAATGAAAACATAGTGATTATGGTTCAAAATGATTTCATCAGTAATATCTCTGTCTTTTGACATTAAAGGCACAGCAATCACATTGCCTGTGCTACAGCACCAAATGTGATGAGAGTCCTTGTTGGCATCTTCAGCAAGGTGCCAGAAGAGATATGTCTCAGAGAAAGTGTAACTGGTATCAACTGGGTATCACAAATATGATTTTTTCCATTATATGGTCCCCCTTTCTTCAGACTTATAGCAAGCTCATTGTATTAACTTTGGGATACTAACACACTGCTTTGCAAATTGCTTTGATTAATACATTTTAGGGCTTAACACGAATGTCTTCACATGCAATATCCAAATACATTTTTGGCTGCTGTGCTAAATAATCTGCTGTTTTATTCATACATCCTCAGAATAGTTTTCTGGAGTTTTCTGGAAGGGTGGAGGAAACATTAATTTTCAGTTGATTTATTTATATTTAGGAAAAAAAAATATTTCCCCTTGTACACAAAAAAAAAATTCACAATGGTATTAAAATAAAAACTGAAGCATGATGATTCATTTTTACAGTAGGTGAATTTGAAACCTTGCTGTCTAGGGAAGTGGCATTTGGGGACCCAGGAAACAAATTCCTGACTTTTTATTTTCACTGAATAAAGTCCTTTACTTAAACTGAAAATTATACACAACATCCAATTAGACACTCTGCTAAGATTTTCTTCTGGTGTCCTTTTCAGCTTTCCTATCTGAAAACTCTGTTGTTTAAATTCACCACCCCCACACCCCTCAAACAGTTTTCTGTCAATCACTTATGCTGTCTTACAGAAACAGTGGACATATGATGAGAGAGGGAATTGCAAAAATTCTCACCAGGTATGATTGTGCTTGTCTATACAGAGTATAAAAGCTCTAGTGCAGGACTTTGAATTATGAAGCAATAAAATATATTAGAAATACTTGAAAACAATCTGAACAATCAGAAATAAAAGCAAATAGTTCTGAGACATAAGACAACAGACCAAAAAGGATGCATCTTCATTAGCTGAAAACACACTTGGAATAACCATATCAATCACAGGAATGACTGTTCATTCTGAGCTTGAGGTTTAAGTTTATATCTTATCTCTTGACATCAGAACAATGTTTGTTTCTAAAAATCAAATATGCTACCATAGTAGTCTCAATTAAAATTAGTTGTAAGATACAGACTTACATCAGAATTCTCTTATTTTGTTTGTTTTATTATTGTTGCTGGTGTTGTTTTTGTTTAATATAAAAAGCAAGAACAGGGAAATAAGACAAACATGCAAAGACAGAAAGCATATAGTGACTACAGGAAATGCTGGATGGTAAAAGCTATGAGCAGAGGGAACTACTGCCAGTTGAAGATTTGTCCTGTCCCACCAGAAACAGGTGCACAATTATACTACTTCTCTGTATCATTTGAACTTTCAAAGAAATAGTAAAAATTACCTTTCCCACATACTGAGGTTCAGAGCCCATGTACTCCTCCAGCACAAAAAATTGATTCCACACCCAGCCTCGTTTAACTCGCTGGGCAGATGATCTCCTCCCTGGCACTGGAACAACATTTTCTCTTGGCTGTGCTTCTAAAATCTCTTGTGCTTGTGAATGCAGTGGTGTTAGGAGACCTCCATCAAACAGGACCAAGAGAAGCAGGGATAAGCAGTTCCTTGTGAGCATTGGCAATGGCTTCTCTACCACAAGTAATAAAAATTCCAGCACTTAATGCTGAGCAGAGGAATCCAGGTTTGAGGTGTCTGTGGCCTTCACCGCTTAGCTTCTGATTTTATTGCAGAAATGCTAATGCAGGCATTAATCCTTCTGATGACAAGGTATTTGCCGCAATAAATTCCATCTATAGGGACCTATAAAAGAGATTTACATGCAACATCAAATTACATAGGATTACACTGAAGCATTCATCAAAATTTTCACACCTAGTTAGTTTCTAGAGACAGAGAAAAATATTAAGAATCACAGTTTAAAAGAGATAGCTATTTTCATTGTAGCACTGAGCTGCTCTAGAACATTGTGTAGTTATGACCTCACTCTTGCTCTGCTTAGCATTACCTGTAGTATTTGTTTTAGGATCAGGTATCAAACAAACCTGTTTCCCACCAGTGATATTAAAAATGTTTACTCTGTTTTATTTTAGTTTTACTCAAATTTTACTCGACAATCTTTTCCTCAAAAAAGTTTTACAAATGAAATACTGAAGAACAGGGGATCCACTCTTTCACCCTACTGTGCAGAGCAGGACCCTTTGCTCAATTTCTCTGCCACAAAAAGCTTCTTGAAGTCTTCTCTACAGTGTGCTGGTTGCCATGAATATAAAAAATAGCTACCTATAGGACTTAAGTTAGATGCATTTTACATTTAAAAAAAAATACAATTTATAGTGCTATGTTCACCACTTTGTTAGGGTCATATTGTGTCATTGATTTTTAAGCATAGGTTTCTAGGAAATCAATAGAGTTCTGCTTAAAAAGCAATGACATGATATGGACCTCAAAAAAGAAGAATAATAAATTACTTAACCATATACATTTTTCCTTTTCAAATACTGCCAACGGTTATATTTTCCTTATGAATAATATTTTACGATCCATAACAATAAATAGCATAGAAATTCTTATTTGTTGGGTACATGCTGATGTGTTTAAAGAGAAAGAATTTATAATCAGCAATCTGGAAAATTTAACAAGTCTTAAAAAAGAAAAAAATAAAAATAAACATCCTAGAAGAATAACTATTTCCTATGCTAAATTTAGGGTGAGACTTCCTGTTCAGATATGAAAGGCTACATTTTAGCCTTTAAATAATAGGCTAATAAAATAGAGAAGATAATAAAAAAAGAAAGTAAAAAACCTGGTGAAAGGTATCTACTGAGTGTTTTAATTCTACCTTCAGAAATGATAAAAGATGAGGAAAGAACTCCCATCTGCTCAGCATCATTTAAATAAAAGTTTTTCTAATTTATGTTCAAACATTTCAATGTTTTTCATCTACAGCAAAATAATATTTTCTGCAATGAGTAAAAACTTCTTACTTGCACAATCATTTGCAGTCTATGGACTTATTCCAGCACAGGAACATTAAGACACGACCTAACAGCAGAGATCTGTTGCATTCAATATATTTGGTATGAATTTATTTTTCACTGAACAGTTCATATGTGGTTTTCTGCTGCTTTTTTTAATGCATTCAGTGGTATATAACATCACGTTCAGACTGTGTTGATCCATAATTCAGTTCCAAGATTTCCAAACTTTTTTGCCTCCCCTGATCCATGGCTGCAGAGTGCATGCCTCGTTTTTACAGCAAAATCATAGTAATCATGAAACATAGCAAAAAATAAAACCAACTCAACATATCCTTTTGAATTGCCCAGACACAGATGGGAGGTAGAAACAAATATATTAAAAAAAAGGGGTGGGATAGTCTGTACTGCTTCAGAAATGTTTGAATTGCCCAGACACAGATGGGAGGTAGAAACAAATATATTTAAAAAAAAGTACTGTACTGCTTCAGAAATGCCAAAATCATGTTGTAGTCAATTTAATTGCCATTCCACTTCTCTTTGCTGAGAAGACTCTGTACATTGCAGTTCTCCCAGCAGAGCTCTGCCTCCGGCCATGTCTGTCAGTCAGGGAGCTTTTAAAATGTTATACAGCACCAAAAGTAATGCAAAGAGATTGAAAGACTTCAATGAAAGGAGAGCAATTCCCCCTTGGCTGGAAGGTTAGTAACCAAGTGCAAGACACAGAGCACTTTAACCCCTTCTCCATTGGTCTCCCAGACAGCCTCCCAGAACGCCTACTGCAGAGTCAGGAAAGAGCAATGCCAGTGCTTTCTTCATTTCCTACAGCTTCAAAAGATGATGAATGGGAGGGTCAGAGAAAAAATGGGAGGCTAATGGATGTTGCAGTACAGGATTGTAGCACAGATGCCCTCATCAGCAGCAAAAGAGTTCAATGTGAAGAATTACTTTCAATTTTTATTCTTTTTTTTTATTTTATTTTTTAAATTTAAACCTCAACAAGGCAAATAATTGAGACTCTCATACTTTGTCACTTGAAAGAATCACTCCAGCTTGCTATTCTGTAACATTTGTGCCATAGGAAACTGAGGCAGAAGGTTCTTCCCCAATAGCTTCTTCTTCCCCATAATTTCATTGCTGGCTTTGCAGGAGGCTTTTTCTGATAGAATTTGTTTTATAGCACCGCTGGAACTTGTACAGGAATTCAAAGGCTAATATATATCTTTTTTTTTCTTTTAGTCTGTGCTTGTTGTTTTGCATTTTCTTTTTAAACTATGTCAAAACCCATCCTAGTGCTTTTCTATTGTCAAATATTCATTGATACCTTATGTACCTCTGATCAGAAAACTACTAAGGCAACTAGGAGACAAGGATTTGTCAGAACAATTGACCATAATGAAGGCACTATATTTTCTTAAATTTTTATGGCATTATTTCCAGTGATGCTCATAAAGAAATATCCAATGAGAGAGTTGTGAACAGACATGCACCCTCATTACATCTCTTTCCTATATATTAGAGAAGTACAGATGGTCAGATTTTTCTTAGATCTTGGGGTTTTTTCAATATGAGCTGTTGCTACTCATTTCTTCAAACTATCTTGTAAGAATTTAAGTACCATTATGAATGATCTAATTAACCCCTAAAGAGAGCTTCAAAGTGATACCCTGTATGAATTTAGTCCCACATTTGCTTTTATAACCTGTGATTACATTTATTCATTTCCCCAGTTTGATGAAGGGAAATAAGTGACCCAACAGCAAGCATGGACAGTATGTTAATACACAATTATTATGAAATCTTGATCATATTTACTGTGTCCCCCAAACTACAGGCTTAGAAACTCATGAAATGCAAATGATGAATAAAATATCACTACTAAAATTATTTATTGGGAATAACAAAATACATGGTAAAAATGATATAAATGGTGCTCCTGCAAGAATTTTGATTCTGACCTGGACTATACTGCCATTAATCTAAAGAGTCTGAGCAATGAAATGCTTTTGGAATACAAAATTGATGCATGCCATTTCTGCTGCAACAACCCTTAATCAATGGTACAGCAGGCGCAAATCACCTCACCAAGCTTGGCAAAGGTTGTCCCTTGTTGAGACAACAGCCACAGATTCTCTGCAATCACTAGTACGCACATAAGGCCTCATGTAGAGAAGTATTTGAAAAGAAACTTTAAATGATCTTTGATCTTGTCATAGTTTAATCCCAGCCAGCAACTCAGCCCCACCCAGCTGCTCATTCACCCACACCCAGTGAAGAAGAGAATCAAAAAGAAAAAAGTGAGGAAACGCATGGGTTGAACTAAAAAGTTTAATAGATAAAGCAAAAGCTGCAAATGCAAGGAAAGGAAATAAGATTATTTACTCATTTCCCATTGCCAGGCAGATTTTCAATCTTTTTCAGGAAAGCAGAGCTCCATAATACATAGTGGTATGGTTTAATCCCAGACAGCAACTCAGCCCCACCCAGCTGCTCATTCACCTACACCCAGTGAAGAAGAGAATCAAAAAGATAAAAGTGAGGAAACTCATGGGTTGAACTAAAAAGAGTTTAATAAATAAAGCAAATGCTGCAAATGCAAGGAAAGTAAATACGTTTATTTACTCATTTCCCATTGGCAGGCAGATTTTCAGTCTTTTTCGGGAAAGCAGAGCTCCATAATACATAGTGGCGTCTTGGGAAGACAAATGCCATCATTCCAAACATTATAACTTTTCTTCTTCTTCTCCCCCGCCCCCCAGCTCTATATGCTGTCCATGATGCCATATGGTCTGGAATATTCCTTCAGTCAGGAAGGAATCAGGATCAGCTGTCCTGACTGTCTCCCCTCCCAACTTCTTGCTCACGCACACACTGGTGAGCTGGGGTGACGTGCAGAAAAGGCTTTGAATACATAAGAACTGCTCAACAATAGCTAAAACAACCCCATGCTATCTACTCTGGTGTTTTTTTTCAGGAGATTTTCAGGAAAATTCAGAACACAGCCCCATACTGACTATTATGAAGAAAATTCATTCCATCCCAGCCAAAATCGGTGCAGACCTGTACAATGTATCTACTTGGATCAGACTACAGATGCACTACTGTCACACCCAGACAAGCAGAAAACACTAAAGCTCCATGATGCACTCGAAACTGTCACCAGTCCAGCAAGGCTGGTAATTGAACCTCCATGAATGGAGGCAAATTGCTTACTGACAAAGTATCCATTATGCACTGATGGTGGGAACATTTCTGCAGCCACCTTTACCATAAATCTATCAGCACAGAGAATGCTTTAGCTCACGTGAAATAAGAGCTAATGTAGAGCAACCATCTTCCTACCCATAAAGAGGTTTGAAAAAGCTTGGCGATACTGTAAGATGGTTGATCCCACCAGCAGGAAAGCCAGATGACATCTATAACTATGAATATGCTGTATTAGCTGACCATGTAATCTTGTTTCTCTGCGATATCTTGGAATAAGAAAAAAAGAAAACAGCAGAAAAAACAAGTCCATGCTTTTGGTATCTATTAAAATTAACTACTAAAATATTTGAGATTATACATCTTCTGGTTAAAGAATAGGTAAAAGCAATATGGTAAATCTTTCTCTGAGTTTAAACAAATCACTTAGGTGGATATCCTCAATGTCATTTAATTAAACAAATCCCATTAGATTAGACTCTAAATTACCACATTTCTTTCTGAGTTTGACTTTCCTGAGCTTCACAACCTATCTAGATACCTTGTAAATGAAAGTAATTATTCCTTTTTCTACCTGGTCTTTTCAGTTAGCACGGGAACTACTTGATAATATCAAAAGAG